AAGCAAGAAGGATCTGTGCACATTCAAGAACACTGAAACATTGAGCCATGTCATTTCAGTTAAAAGTCAAAATCGGTATTTTTTAATGAAAAAACACTGCACTTATTAATAGAAGAATTAATCTTGTACACTGCTCAAGTGCTAGAAGGTACATTTTAAAAAGGAGTTAAGCAATGCAAACAATACAAAGGTTATTGTGTTTCCATTGCACCATCACCACAAAATACACAGGCTAGAAGCTTATGAAGTAAAGCCGAAACATGGCAAGCAGTAACATGAATTTGATGTTTTATGCCAAAAACTCTACATCTCCGTAGGTCCAAAGGCGACAAACACAACACTTGGACCTCATTTCCTTTGGGACCCATTTTCTTTGGGTCCATTGTATTGAGATGCCAAGTCAAACGAGTGCAAACACAAAGCTGAGAGTCTGTTACATAAATATGTATGTGCAGGTGCTTTTACCCATCTAGCTCATTTTACAGGTAGTATTCACTGGCGGCCATAGCTGAGCTCGCAGCTGCGGAGCACATATACTGACGGCAAGCTTCCACAGCACCTGCAACATGCACATTGCCCACATGAAGAATGTCTTTTAGAGTGCAGCTCTTAGGCGTGCGTCTCCGGAGTGAGTGGTGTCGGTGTTGGCCTAACTGCACGTTACATTGGGACGTTTCCCATAATGACATCCCATGTGACGTCACTAGGGTCACGAGTGACGTCAGAAAGGTCACTTGTGAAGGTCATGAGGGAGGAGGGAGGGGGAGGGAAGGGGTGGAGGGAGGATGGAGGGGAGGAGGGGCATACCTGTTGGTAGTGTAATGGACCGTTATCGGATGGCGACACGAATCCAGCGCTAAGGTCGTGCAGCCGTTCCCCTTCTGTTTGCATTTTCCCCCCTCTCTTCCCGCTTGATAAACAAGATGGCAGCTTGACAGCTGTATGTCGTTTCTTCATCCCCAAATCCACTCGATCCGCGTCCCAGAAATGTGGTCACACTGTGCACTTAAGATAAACAAACAGGTTATGGGCCCAGGACGACACATCGACCATTATTTCGGAAAAGGGGTCACCTTTAATGAGTGATGAAAAGGTACGACCACATTGAAGAAAAAACTGTCAAGCAACACCGTCATCGCTACGTCGTGCCGATGCCTGAAGAAGATTAGACGAGCATGAGTGTAGTGAAACTGTCAAGGACGAAGTGACTGACAAGCGGTGTGTGCCCGTCAAGAAAGTAAAAGGTGGCGCGTTCTTCATCAGACGGATGGAGCGTCGCCGGACACCGGTCTCGCTGCGGACTCCATGGGGTGTTATGTTCGGAAGACGTCTACACACACCAAGCGTGGGTACAGCGAAGTTGTCGGTAAGAAGTGACCTTTGCGCTTTCCGAGCAGGACGGATCATCGTGCGACACCTGTGGCTGTCGGAAAGAAGTACTGACATCGGTTCGGTGCGTGCCAGTGATGAAAGTGTCGGGAAGAAGTGACTGACACGCCAGTGACGAATTTCTCGGCAAAGAAGTGAACGAAGGAGAACTGCGTCGACGGTTCGTGGAAGACGTCGTCAAACCTGTACATGTGTTCCTGCTTCGCTGGGTGCCACAAGACGTGCAACAAGAACCCAACGCAAGTTCATCGCTGTAAGCCTACTTCGAACCGCTCTCGACAAAGCAAAGCGATAGGATGGCGGCGCTGGACGAATTCAAAATACCAAAACTCTCAAACGAAAATTACCATGCGTGGGCGATTTGAGCCAGAGCGGCATTCGTCCAGAAAGGCTGTTGGGAAGCCATGGAGCCTGGCTATGGTGGGAGAGAAGTGATGAACGACGAGAGGGAGAACACCAAGGCTTTGACATTCATGTTCCTAGTAGTGGAAGACACCTGTCTGGACGACATTGGGGAATGTTTGACAGCTCGTGAGGCTTGGAATACATTGGAAGAGATACATTTAAAGTGTGGGCTACTGCATGCTCTTCAGTTGATGGGAGACTTCTCCAGCACCAGAATGGAGCCAGATGAAACCATGAAGGATTACCTGGATTGAATAATGAACCTACAGAGGAAGCTTTAAACGGCAGGATACGCCTTCACTGACAGGGAAGTGGCACTGGTGATGCTGATGGGCTTGCCAGAAACGTATGAATCACTTATCCTAAATCTTGAGCAAGACGAAGGAACGCTCACGACGAAGAAGGTGAAAGCAAGGCTGCTGGTAGAAGAAAAGCGCCAAGTCAAACGTGAAAAAGACAAACTAAATGAGAGTGAAGAAAACAAGGCCCTCATGACAAAGAACAAGCCATTATGAGGAGCAGTCAGCTCCACAAACGTAACGGGCAAGAACATTTTTTAAGGAAAGCAGCAACTGGCACTGGTACAAGCTGCTTTGAACCGAAACAATGAGTTCGGTGCGGAAAATTTGGACACATTGCCAGGGAATGCAAGGAGGGTCCCGATGACGAAGGATGCGGCTCAAAGAGAAGACGAAATTCCAGTGAACCGAAGAAGGCGCTCTGTGCCAGAGGTGGAAGTTCCTCAGGGTCACACATCTGGTACCTTGGCAGTGGAGCAATTGACCACATGACGTCAAACAGAGCCAAATTCACCACTTTCAAGCCCTGCTGTTCGACTGTTGAGGCAGCAAATAAGGAGGTCATGGAAATCGTCGGGAGAGGACAGGTAAAGATTGAACTTTCGAAAGACTGCGGTGGCACTGTCGTCGAGCTCCAAGATGTCCTCTACGTACCAAGCTTAGACGGTAACCTCTTGTCAGTTGGGAAGATTGAGGAACGTGGACTGAGCGTGACTTTCAGCAACGGAAAAGCTAAAGTGATTGAAGCAAATGGTGACCTTATTGTCGTAGCCAAGCGCGATGGTAAATTGTACACTGAGAGTAAGTCGCTTGCAACATTGAAGTTAGCAAAGGCGACAGACGTCGCCCTGTGGCATCGACGACTCGGTCATCTCCACCATGAAGCTGTCGAAAAACTTTGCCAAAGTGGTAGAAGCAGTCAAGATGCAAAGTGCTCGACATGTGCACTCGGCAAATTGAAGAAAAGCAGCTTCCGAAGAAGGGTGGAACAAAGGCTAAGGCCCCACTGGAGCTGGTTCACTCGGATGTAGTTGGAAAGATCACACCTGCCTCGAAGGGAAGGTCGAACTACTTTGTCACATCCATTGATGACTACTCCAGATTCACTGTAGTGTACCCAATGAAGACGAAGAATGAAGTGCTGGACAGATTCGACCAGTACAGACGAATGGTCGAGATTCTCCACAACACGAAGGTGAAGACTTTGCGTAGTGACAATGGAGGAGAGTACACAAGCAAAGAGTTTGATGAGTACCTGGCCAAGCATGGCATAAAGCGTCGGCTCACCATTCCTGGCATACCTGAGCAGAATGGAGTTGCCGAGAGAATGAACCAAACTCTGCTTGACATGACGAGGTGTCTCCTCATCCAGTCAGGCGTCCCCAAAGAACTTTGGGCTGACGCCGTTGTCACTGCAAGTCACATCATCAGGAACAAGTGTTCATCGAAAGCAGTCGAAGGAGAGTCACCAGAAGCTCTGTGGACAGGGGGAGAAGTGAAACTGGACCACCTAAGAGTGTTCGGATGCAGAACATGGAGTCTGCGAAACAGACGATGCAAGGGAAGCAAGTTGGACCCGAAAGCAGAGGAGTGCATACTGGTCGGCTACCCAGAAGGAGTGAAGGGGTACAAGCTGTGGAACCAGAAAGAAGACCGCTTCTTTGTGAGTCGAGACGTCACCTTCGAAGGAGACTCCTTCCCGTGCAAGCTTGCCCAGGCTCCAAGCACTGACGTTGATGTATGTGACGACACCGAGGGCACAATCATTTTTCAAGTAGAAGACAGGTGGAGCGGGTCACGTGAGGTTGGTGGTTCAGATCGAAATGATACTGGCCACAACAATGCCGAAGAAGTTAGATCATCAGCTGATGAAGACGACAATGGAGCTACACAGCAGATATCCAACGTGACAGATTGTGGTACGCAAGCATACAGAAGGTTGGCGAGACTGGCAAAGAAGGGACCACGTCAAAGTGGATGTCACGGCTCCTGCATAGCCAAGCAAAACAACCGGGAAGATCCAGAAACTCTACACGAAGCCTTTTCTGCATCAGACAAAGAGAGATGGAAAGCAGCTATACAGAGTGAACTGAACAGCCTTGAAGCTTCAGGAACATGGGAACTGGTGCCACGACCGAAGGAGAGACAGGTCGTAAAGTGCAAGTGGGTAATCCGCAAGAAATACGACGAGAATGGTGACTTGGAGAGGTACAAGGCACGGTTAGTAGCGTGCGGATACTCCCAGGTGGAAGGAACCGACTACAAGGAGACCTTCTCTCCAGTTGTCAAGCTGAAGTCCATCAGGACGCTGCTAGGCATAGCAGTCGAGAGAAATTGGAAGATCCACCAGGTTGAAATCACGGCAGCATACTTGAACGGTACACTGAAGGAGACCGTCTACTTGGAACAACCGCAGCCTTTCGGCGTTGCAAGAAGGATGAAGTCTGCCTTCTAAAGAAGACCTTGTATGGACTGCGACAGTCTGGAAGGGAGTAGAATCTCACCTTGGACAAACTGCTGAAGTTGCAGGGGATGACAAGATCGAAAGCAGACCCCTGTTTATATGTCAGCAAAGAGAAGAAGCTCATTGTAGGAGTCTACGTTGATGACCTCTTGATCATCGCAGAAGAGGAGGAAGCGAGTTTGACGCAAAAGACTTGGGGGAAGCCAGCCACATCGTTTCCATATGAATGAAAAGAGAAAGGGATGGAAAACTGACCCTCGATCAGACGGTCTATGCCGTCTGATCAAGGCAAGGCAGATGCTAAGGCAGCATCATCTCTTTTGGATCCTGGAAGCAAGTACCAAAGAGGAGAGAGCAACGACCGAATGAGAGAAGACCTGCCGCGCAAGTACAGACAGGCAATTGGTGCGTTGCTTTACCTTGTCGGAGGAACAAGACCGGACATGGCTTTTGCCACCACTTACGTGAGTCAGTTAAACGAACATCCCACAGAAGAGAACTGGAGTGGCATAAAGCACATCCTTCGCTATGTGAAGCAGACGAAGAATTGTGCACTAATCTACCAAAGAACTGGGAAGTGTGTGCAGGTCTTTTGCGATGCAGACTGGGCTAATGACAAGGCTGACAGGAAGTCATTCAATGGTTATGTGTTGACGCTAGCCGGCGCTGCAATTTCCTGGAGCAGCAGGAAACAACAAAGTACTGCACTGTCAACCGTCGAAGCAGAGTATATGACCATGTGTCATGCTACAAAGGAAGTTATGTGGCTAGAGAACTTCATGAAGGAGCTTGGTGTGCACGAGTTTCTACAGGAACCACAGGTCTTGTTGGTAGACAACCAGGGTGCAATTGCGCTGGCGAAAAATCAAGTCACGTCGGAGAGAAGCAAGCACATTGATCTGAAGCACTTCTTCCTGAGAGAAAAGGTGGAAGAAGGAAAGCTGCAACTCCAGTACAACAAATCGTCGAGTAACTCTGCAGACCTCTTCACCAAGGCCTTGAATGGAAGGCTGACCCTCAAGCATTGTGAACGTTTCGGTGTCAAGAACGTGGACGTGGCGACAGTCCATTAAGGGGGAGTGTTGGTAGTGTAATGGACCGTTACCAGATGGCACCACGAATCCAGCGCTAAGGTCGTGCAGCCGTTCCACTATTGTTTCTATTTTTCCCCTCTCTTCCCGCCTGATAAACAAGATGGCAGCTTGGCAGCTGTATGTCGTTTCTTCATCCCCAAATCCACTCGATCCACGTCCCAGAAATGTGGTCACTCTGCGCACTTAAGGTAAACGAACAATACCCTCCTCTCCGCACCCTCCTCAAGAGCTGCATTCTTATTCGGCATTACAGGAAATTGTAAACGTCTCATTTTTTTTTTGGAACACAATTAATAAGTCATCCTCTGCTTGCACATATTGAGCAGTAAGCTAGTACCATCTATTAAGCACCGACCGGCATACACTCACTAAACTTGGTATCACCCTGAGCACACCTGCTACTTAGCATGGTATTCTTTTTATCACTGGAAAGAAGCACAGGGACAAGCAACCAGAAAATCGGGCGGCCTGCATCAACACTGCGCACTGGCCCAAATTGAAGCAAGCTATTTTCACAAAAAATAGATGCAACAGCTAAGATTGCGCTTGACCTGCACACCATAGACTGGCTCTATTCGAGCCCAGCGACTTTCACAACTAATAGCCACAACAGCTACGATCGGGCTTGACAAACACACTGCAGACTGGCTCTACACGAACCCAGCTACTTTCAGAAATAATAGCCGCAACAGCTACGACCGGGTTCGATTTTTACACCGTAGACTGGTTCCGCTGAAGCCTAGCTACTTTCAAAACCAAGAGCCACAACGGTTGAGAGCTGAGCGATCGAGCTTGATCCACATGCACACAAAACAATTTCCTGAAAAAACAAATAAGAGTGCGCTCGAACTATGTACAGGGGTGACACTAAAAACATTATTGTGGATTGTACTCAGGGTTAGCAAAGCACCAGTCAATGTGCGGCCAGCAACTAAGGTGGTTGGCTCGAAAGGTTGGGCCTTCGGCCACAAGGTCTTTGTGGCCCCCGGGGTCATTTTCCTCAAGATGCCGAGGTCCGGGGAACGAAAGATTACCAGCCTTTGGACTGGCAATTGGACGAGGATGAGGCGCCCCTTCAGCCTGAGGCAGCACTGCTGCCGTTGGAAGGGCGACCACCACCATCAGGCCTACGCTGACCAGGACCGTGTTGTCCAGAACCAGCTTGGAGGCCCAGCATACCACCTGCAGGCTGCAGACAGGCACTATTATAAATACCTGTTTGCACAACAGGCGGAAAACATGCCACTCAAATGAAAATGTGTCCTTCCTTGGCTAAATACAGCCCTCGAGGAGCTCAGAATGGCACAAGCAGAGCACAAAGCAACAAGGGAGACACAGATGGCGGCTATTTTTTATGGAGAACAGTGCAAAAAAAAAAAAAGTCTTAGCCCTGCTAGGGCAGGCTGCTCAACAAGAAAACCCATATAAAAAGGGGGGGGGGGGATTGTAAATATATTAAAATATTTTTCTTAGTTCTCTTCAATGCCCCCACCTTTAGTTTCTAGCATGCACAAACCTTCCACTTCATTATTTCGTTTGGCAGCATGCAAGACTAAAGAAATGATGGCTTCATAGAAAGGTTGCGACAACTTTTACACACTCGGCCAATTAAAAGCGAACATCATAACCACAAAAACACCTGCCACGGCCACACCTCAAGCAAAATGTTTGCCTTCCGCACCATTGCATTTGTATAGGCTTTTTGAGACTTCACCGCCGAGTGGCATGCAGGCAGCGTCAATGCGTTTAGTATTTGTGTCGTGCCGTGAATGCCGTGAAGTTCCGTGCCGTGAAGTTCACTGGCACTGCAGTTTTGAGGTTATTGATATAATAACTCTTCTGGTGCTGGAAAATCAGTGTCTGCACAATACACCAAAATAGGAACACGCACAAGCTACGGCACAAAGCGAAATCATATTTGGATATCATTCAATTACTGTTGGCTCTAGGGAGGGTCAGTGGCGTATTACAGTTCGGAAATTGTATAGCAAAAACTCGCAATGCAGAACCCAGGGACCCTGAGTTCAAAGCTCGTAGCTCAATCCACACCCCTGCCCATTGCACAAGAGAAAGACACCATGTTTGTTCAACAGGAAACTATACTGTCTCACCGTCACTTGGCAAAAAGTAAGTGATATGGTCCCCTCCAGCCAATCGGTGACAAAGGCAAAGCGTAACCCAAGCAGTTGAAGAAGTGGGGAAGGAGGAACTTGGGAAGTTGCTTTCCCTCCCCTGAAACTTAACCTGTAACTCAAAATTGTCCCAAAAGCGGCATTCTTCTCTTTTTCGTCTATCTCTCTGATAGCACTGCACGCACCTAGTGAGTCAAGTGTCTCTTCCCAACCTGCTGATTGGTTTTCTTAGACCGTAGTCTTCGCCTTTTCCCAACCCAGTTATGATGTAATGGATTACAGAAAACCTGCGGCAAACAAACAAAGAGAACCCAAAGGAGTTAAAAAAGAAAAAAAGTTGTTTAACACAATCACACTAATATCATAGCAATGTTTCGGAAACAAGGCTAAAAAGAACAATAAGAGTTTTTTTTAAAGTGCTGAAGTTACACACAGCAAATTATTTTGGTTGAACTATATTTAGCTACGCAGCGAAATGGCATGCTTTGACTCTGTATCTGTATTTCCACAGAAAGTTGACCCCACATTGGCATCAGAAAAATTAACGTCGTCATTATCGTGTCCGACAGCGTAAGAAACGCAGAGTGTCTCTTAATATGGTCACGCTTCTAGGTTTGCAATTATTTCTTACCAGCAAAAGTCGAAAGCTCATTGGCGGAGGCGCAAAATTAAGATACTCGGAACGTACCGCACCCTTTAGAACAGAAAACAGCGTGATGTACCCAAAAGCTATAAATCTAACAAACTGAGGTAATAGGACCTGTGAGGATCATGGACACAGAGAAGTCAGGATCGGGTGTTTCAGCTAATTGTCTGTGGGGTTACAACAACAAACAGAACCCTTCACTCCACTTATTGTGATGCTCGATACAACTGTACTTAGCAGTTCTTTTGCCAGGCCCCATGATACTGCTGCTGTTTGCCATTCGGTGCAGTCTGTCTACAATCAAAATTTATCTACAACCTGGCATGGTGGCTATCTTAGGATACACTGTGCACATAAACCGGTTTGTTCATAGCCTGGCTATTCAATGCGCAGTGTGCCCTTTGCGCTTTAGAAAAAGGTAGCTCTGAGACATCTCACAGACACAGTTTTTCTGAAAGCAGCTCTCCATAACACCAACCTTTCGATTACAAACCGTGTTGTTCCGTAAGCCTGGTTGTACGCACACTCCACTGGCGCAGTCGGCGATCGGAAAGGCGCTATCACCCACGCCCTGCACGGGTAGCCGCAATGGTCAGGCCGCCGTACGCGCCCGTCGCGACGTTCTCCCCGTCACTGCTCTGCGACAGCACGTAGGAATCGTGGATGCTTCCGGGTCACATGGCACCACATTCAGGATCCTCGAGCGCGCGTCCACAATCAGCTGCAAGTTGATAGAGTGACCGTAGTGCTTGTTGACGAACAGTTCCTCGTGCACGGCGGCCCTTGGATCCGAACGTGGGTGACGTCGATGACTCCCACGACGCCCGGAAAGCCGCCCATGACGTAAAACTTCTGCTGCAGTTCGGGGAGTTCCGCTGCTGTTGACCACCCGAAGGAGGAAACATGGTTTACACCGTCAGTTGAATACTATAGCAGTTTTCACTGCCGACATAGTCCTCAAAAGAACGAAGCTTGCCGCGAGATATGATCAATACATGTCATTCGCTACCGTTTTGAAGAGTCTGCTCCTTTTCAAAACTCACTCAAGTATCCACCAGCTGTTTCCACTGACAAGTTGTGAAACTCGTTATTTCAAAACTGTTTTCGTAATGAGGAACTCACCGGGATACGAAAGACCGTGCCACAAAGTGGTGCCCACTGATCTCTATGGTGCCACACCAAAGACAATAAAAATAGAGTGAGCTTGGGGAAGGACCACTACACAACGTTTTGAGGACGCAGTGACGGCGCTGCATGTTGACCAGAAGGGGCTTTTAACTGACGAAAACAAAAGTCTCGATTGCTCCAAAATTACTTCGCAGCTGGCCGCTTAATAAATGTAACATATAGTCGAAGAGGAACGTTAGAAATAAGACTGTTTTCTCACCTCCAAGACTCCGGTGATGCGCATGTTGCTGTCGCGGCGAAGGCGAAACCGAAACCTCGTCAGAAACGTCGAAGGTGTCGAGGGGGCGAAATCGGTCCTGGAAAACACGGTCCGACGGTGCCGCGGAGTGCATTCATGCGGCGAAGATTGTTTGGAGCCGGTGTCTTGTGGCCACGTCCGACATTTTGTTTACTCTGAGACCGCCAGTGAGCCTCCTCGGTTACTGTCTCAAGATCTGAGACTAGAGTTGAGTCAGAGACTCGGTTTTGGTCTCAAGTCCAGACTAAGTTTCGTTTCGAGCAAGTGGCTAACCTCTGAGACTGCCTCAGTTTGGGTCTCCGTTTGGGTCTCAGTTTGGGTCTTAAATCGGCCGCCAGCTAATTTGCTACGGGGCTGTCTCCCGGCTTGAGACACAACTTGAGTCAGAGACTCGGTTTCAGTCTCAAGTCCAGACTAAGTTTCGTTTCGAGCAAGTGGCTCACGTTCGGTCTCGGCTGAGACTGTCTCAAGTTGTGTCTCAACTCTTTCGAGCAAGCGGCCCCTGGTGTTCCCCGTCCAAGTGCTCTGCGGCAGCTGGCCGCATTTTCAGCTTGTTATGGACGAACCTTAACTGCTGAACCGTGCCTAAAAGATGTCGGTCCTTCTCCGACCCGATTGATTGTTCCTCAGCGCGAGTCTTCGCGATCCTCCTGTTCTGAGTTGCCGTCTCGCTCACAGCGTCTCCGAATCTCTGCGCTGGTTCGTGTAGAATCTGTTTTTCATCCGGCTGTTTCGCGCACCGGACAAATCGTCACCTCTTCGTCTGCTCCCAATG